ATCTATCAATCAATCATTTTCTTGACTATCAGTTAGTTAGGTAGTCAATTCAATCAGTTTACTCACTCACTCATGACATGGACAATTGTTTAGAGTGGTGGTTAGGTAGGTATATGTCTATCTATCTATCTAACTGTCTAATAACTGTCTAATTATCTCTAACACTGAGCAAAAGAAATCATAATTACAGACAATATGTAGGGTAATTACGACGCACATAAAACGGATATTCCCAAAAGAAAAGAAAGGAGATGAAATGAAATGAAATGAAACGAAAGTATAAGTGCGAGTACGAGTACAAGGGTATTTTATCTTGTAAAATATATGGGATGTATATACCACGAATATCTATCTACAATGAATGAATAAATGATTAAACCAGGACTGAATACTCGACTCAAAAGTATGTATATGTGTGTATGTGAGAATGAGAGAGGAAAACAAATGTGTAACCAGCCTTCCAATGCGATACATACCAATTACCCCCCCTCACCCTCACCCCATCAGTTCACCCGTCCTTCGACACGATGCAATACGATCCCGTTGTACGTAGTACGTAGTACGGTGATGAAACGTGTTATGTATGATATACTATACGATACTATGCTATGCTATGCTACGATATGATATGATGCAGAAGTACTGTACTAGGATATCGATTCTCTTCACTGATAGAACACTCGAGTGTGTATCTCAGAAGCAGATATTCGTTCCAGAGGAAGAGGTAACGAAGGAAGGTTAGAGGCTGCTGACTTACATACCGAGTGCGTACATATTTACTTCTTCTGTACGAGTACATACTATTCGTGCACATGGTACATCCTTTGGGTTTACAGACATTGGTATTGGTATTGGTATTGATTGGCATTGGTATTAGCATTCGCATGAATATTAACGCTCCTGCACTGCGCTGCGCGGACGGCGGTTATTAATTTCTTCTTTGGGAAATGGGATAGGGAGGAGGGATGATGGATGTCCAATCATTCAATATTTCTCGTCGGTATTTGGAGAAGTGTAATGAATGTAGTATCATGATTCGGTTTGTGCATACCTAGGATAGAGAACGGAGAACGGAAAACGGAAAACGGAGAATGGGAAAGGGAGCCTGGGAGAGAAGTGTACTTCGTACGGAATATGGTTGATGTAATTGATCCTGGAGTGTTCCAGATGCTAAACTAAACATCCTTTCTTTTTTCTGGGAGTCTGGAGGGGAGGGGGTGATTTTGTGGGATGGATGAGTGAGCTTTGAGCTTTGAGCTGTGAGCGTGTAACCGACTGTGGGTAAGCAGAGGAGAGTAAAGCTCATCTCATTTGATTGCCTCTTCTGAAGTATAAGGAGAGGTTTTTTGAAAAGTATAATGAGACCTTTTGAAAAGTCTTAAGAGTACTTTTGAAGAAGGTAAATGTAAGTCCTACTTTTCATTTGAAATTCTTAGTACTTATTTAAACAATTTTTTTAATTAGTACTTTCAAAAATCCTAAAACTAAAAGAAGTATATTTTTTCGCTTTTTAAAATAGTACGACGCATCTATTGATTTTATCTTAATAAGTATAATATATAATTCGAAGTATTATATAGAGTATAAGAAAGAATATCTATAACGTAATTCATTAATATATAGGTCATATTACTCTATAAGCTACTCCATTTTATATATAGAATTCGTATATATATAGCTATATACTTTCCTTATTAGCTAATAGAATTATTTAATTTTTATCTATAGTAGGACTAGTAAATTCTTAATTGATTTAGTTTATCTATAGCTAAGCTATACTAACTATATAATATATCTATATGATTTTAATTTTATAAAGTAGATAGGAAAACAAAAGAAAAACTTATCTTTCTTTAAATGATTTTTAAGTTTGCTATTATAAAATCCTATTATATTATAGAATCTCTATAATCTTTCTATTTATTTCTTTATAATCGTCGGAACGTACGATCACGTGCTTAAGCGAATTATATAATTCTTCTCTTTCTTCTAAGAAGGGAAAGAATTATATCTTTATATAGATCATCTAAATTCATATTATTTATTCTGTATAGAATTTTATAATACTTTACCTAGTGATTCGAATCTTAATCTCCCCTTAAGTAATATAAATATAAATAGAGTAGAAAAGAATAATAGAAATAGATAGAAAAGATAGGAGATTATAGAGATTATAGAGAGTAGATAGAAAGATTATAAAGGTTCTATAATATAATAGAATTTATAATAGTAGATCTAGATTATCTAAGAGGAGATGAGTTTTCTTTGTTTTTCTATTTACCTTATATAATTAGTATTACTTAGATGTATTATATAATTAGTATAGCTTAGCTATAGATAGACTAAATCGATTAAGATGTTACGGGAGCTGCCTCTAGGGTCACGTGGAAGTGTCTAGAGTTCTCTCGAGGTGGTTTAGACTAAACTTCAAGTAGGAATTCAATAAGGTTGGTAACTGGTTGCAATTCTCGTAACTATAGTAATGAAACTAATGATTGTTCTTGAGCACGAAGCTCTACATTGTAATGAAATCCCATTCCCTTATATAGACCTTCGTACTGTACTGGAGCGTTCAGGACCTAGAGAGGTCCTGGACCTTTGGTCTGTATGGACCTACATTCCGTTATGCCTGTCATGCAGGGTCCATCACGTGCTAAGAGTCATGTGACGCGGTACCGAGGATGGACCGGCGTAACATAAGACTTTACTACTACTACTATAGAAGTATTCTCATAGAGAGATATTCGACTAATCTCGATCTAGAAGTAGTTTAATTCCGATTGGTCCCGGTCGGGTCATTTATATGACATTTTTTAGGTTTTAATAAAATCTCTCTAAAATGTCTTTAAAACTTTTATATAATAGTTAATTCTAACGATTCTAGTGATTTAATAAGAATACACGTAATTCTAGAATCGAAAATATAAGAGTATTCAATAAAGAGATTTTAAGAATATAATTTATTTTTAGGTCAAAAAAAATTTAGTACTAAAAAATATTAAGAATAATAAAGATTGTTCTAATAGAGGGAATTCTTATAGAGAGGTTTTACTATAGTCTATAAAAGACTTACTATTCTCTATAAAGTAGTTAATTTCTTAGATTAAATATACTTAATGTTAAATTCTATATTTAGATTCTTTATCGTTTATATTCTACTCAAATTAATAATATTAGTATATACGAAAAGGAATAATAATCTTTCTAAAGATAGTTATATAGTATTTTTATTTATACGAAGTTTTGAGACAAATAAAAGTAAGAACTATATATATAGATACTTTACTATAAGATATACTTTCTTTATATATCTTATTAGTATATATATATATATCTAATATAAATACTCTATATATAGAGTATTTATCTATCTAGACTTCTAATCAAGAAGTGAAATATTGATATACGAAAATAAACAAATAAATGAAGAATTTGTATACGATTGAGTACTATTAGACAATCTAATAGAGTATTTATTTCTATATTAATCTTTTCTCGAAATAGGGTTGAGTTTCGACAAGATTTTATAACTACAACTATAACTTCGAATTCGTCCCTCGAGAATACATACGAATAAGTACTCCTCCGTATATCTATCGAGTACTCTAAATCATGCCTACATACCAGTAAGTACTAAGCAATATAATGATTAATGATTAACACACCACTAAATAGATAGATAGGTAGGTAGGTAGGTAGGAACAGACCCCAAGGATGGAGTAGGTACTGATATGATACACTCTAATCGAATAATCAAACATCCAAGCCTACTACACCACACTAGTAACACCACTACACCACACATACACTACCCAAATATCCCCTCCCCCTTTCAATCATACTCACCCATCCCTCCACTCACACACTACACCACACTACACCACACCCTCCCTCCACAGACTAGTATAATTTTGATTGACCACTTCTAGTTCAGATCTAGATCCAATTCCAGACCTCATCCCTAATCCCTAATAAAATACGCTAGGTGATTCCGAATTGATGGAAGGAAGGCTGTGTTTAATGCAGCGTAATGCGATATACTACTTTATTATGGAGTACAGATGTATGATTTAGAATCTATTTGTGTGTATGAGCGCAATGGATATAGATGGGGTTTATTTACTATATTTCTTTTTTCAGAAGTTTTTAGTTTGGAGGGTTGTTTGTTTTGTTTTGGGGAGTGGAGGGTGGAGGGGTTGATTTTGTTCGGTTTGTGAGGGGGGAGAAATAGAGAAAGAGAGGAGGAGAGAGAGGAGAAAGGGGGAGAGATACTATAAACACTGCTTCTTAGTTGTCTAAATAGATAGTAGATAGATGGGTAGGTAGGTAGGAAATATATACTCTATTATCGCTTATGTGATGACAGATGTTTAGTTCTTAGTTTTTATTTCTTAGTTTTAGGATTCCATATATACCTATAGTATAGTATAGCATAGTACAGTATAGCATAAACACATTTAACATCTACCCCGCCTCGCCCGCCCATTCATCACCTCTTCATCACCCATTATTCATTCATTTCCGTTTCGTTTCGTTTCGTTTCGTTTCTTTCAGGGGTTCAGAGGAGAGGAAACAGACGAGGGGGAGGGGCATTCGTGGAGATAATATCGAGATGCAAACCAATATCAGGGTATCAGGGTGTGAGCGTGTGAGTGTATATTGAGGGTATACTTGCTATATGCATAATGATAGATATACTTAGATATACTAAATAAATCCCATCCCATCTCATACACACGCATCTACGCAGCAATACTATATACTCAGGTATAATACAATACCATATGCAAATAAGTTTTATATACCTACCCCAAGTCCAAACACTCTGACCACGAAAATAAAAAAGCGAGGTTAAAAAGGAGTCACAAGTTAGTAAGAATAGACGAGTAATACATTACAGAACAAAGACTCATCAACAATACGATATTCGAGTCTATCCTCGCTCGAAGAACATCTCACCATGTCATATATACACAACAAGTAAATGAAACGCAAAATTTTCACGAGTATTTCATGAATATTGTCTTATAATTTCTATCTCCAGTCTCCGCTGTCTTCAATATCTCAGACCAATCACCTGTTATCCCCGCCACGTCATACGAAACACACTGTGAATGTCTTCGAAAACATTCAAATCGAATCCCAGTATAATATATTCCTCCTCAAATTCCGAGACACGTGTCGATAATGAGATCAAATGTGATGTTTGCTACTTGGAAATCTCATGATATGGAGATCTATCCAGCAAGGTAACCAATAGACTACTCAATATTCATTTACCAAATTGGTCAAGTGGAATTTGAAGAGAAAGCCTGAGCAATGCTAGAGTAGCTGTACGAATATGACATGCGATTTGGCCATCGAGCCTGTCCATAAAGTTGATGATGGGTCTTTCTAATCATCATAGCGGGTAGGTTTGGCCACGATTCTTTTCTCCAGGTCTGTCGAGCATGACTTCTTCGAAAATTGTTTGGGGAATTGCCGAGATGAAAGTCCACATTCTTCTGTTCCATGCTGCCAACAAGAAAAGAATTTATGTTGCTCTAGCTCGAATATTAAAGAGGCTTCATAATTCTGACTGTATGTATTACCCACTCCCCTCTTCCTTTAGTTTCATTGAATCGGTTATTTCCAATGCATGCGACTGAATTGCTCCGAAATCTCATGCAATTCTTTCCTGTCTCATAAATCTGATCTCACTTATCCAAACCTCGTGCTTTGATAAATCGATTTATTTGTTCCCTTGTGAGTTTTTCATTATAGTGTTCTTGAGCTTCATAAAAAGATATCATTTCTTGCGTGCAATCAACAATCGCTTCAACATCAATAGTACTTTCAGCAAGCCAATTTGCTAATTTTTGTACCTTTGTTCTGCCTCCTTGCCTCTCAGGAGTTCCGCCTTTCGCTTGACCAGTACTCGTTAATGCAGCTTGTGCGGCACCTGCAATATTGCTAGCCGACGAACCACTAGCAGATTGGATTCCAGTTGCATTTGGACGAAGTACGAGCGCTAGAAGAATAGCCATAATAGCAATAGTATGTGGTGCATAAAATAGAGGTAAATCCGTCATGTAATGATCATTTACAATAGACCAAGCAAGATTGGATTCTTCTGCTGTTAGAGAGAAAGTCCCTTGCAGAGCAGTCAAACTCCTGTAGGGATGATGAACAATCATTTGTGAACTCATTTCGGAGATCAAAAAGAATTCACATTCCCCTAGCCTCGAAGTATCATTGCTGAAATATTCTATTGCCGTCATTAGCGAGTTCGGTGATTGCAATGTCCACGGTTAAAGATACTAGGGAACATACCAGGCCACAATCCTCTACCTTCACTAACCACAAGTCTGATGTGATGTGGACATTCTTCCATTTTACATGCCAAATAAACCGCTGTTGCTAGAACTAAATATGGATTCGTTTTCCGAATTTCGACCTTTGAGTAAAACCGACGAATGTATAGTTGTGCTGTGGCCATTGCTTGTTGTCGCACACCGAGACGTTTTCCAAGTCGAGTCATCTCTGCATTGAAACATCAATCATTTATCCCTCCAAATAACCTGCAACAGTTCATACGTTGATTGAAATATATGCTCAGGTGTCTGAGTTGTGGCAGAGGATATGCCTGTACAAGAGCTTGATCTTCATCTTCAAGCTTGGATCGTAAATCCTCCAATTGTTCTCGTGTGAATTGCCAGTGTTTCCGTTGACTTGACTATTGAAAGATTAGTTTCTATCCCTAGGATGATTCTTCGGCAGAGGTAACCCACTTCCCAGTAGTTGGCAGCCATCACAGATAGCTTCAAGGCAAAACGATTTATCTGCTGATACTTCGAACTTGATATCTCGGAACGAGTCAAGAAGAGGTACCTAACCTATCTCAAAGCTCAATTAAATCTACAGAAATCTCAACTTGTTCAACTTCGTTCCTTCAAGAATATATTTCGATCGATGTAGAATGGAAAACCGCCCGTTCACTGGACTTTCGGATCTGGACGAGGATGATGATACAATACAACTCTCACAAGGCCGAGACTTACAATAGCTCCAAGGCTGACAAGGCTGATTATCAATGATTAAGGATCTACATCGGGAACCCTGCCCCCACTACGGTAGTATGATACAACCAATCAAGCATTTCTCATTGGTCAAGCTTAATCTTTTGACGGAATCTTGGAAGTTTGCGCTCTGAATTATTATTGAAACTTCACTCCTCTGCTGCCTCACTTCGCATTATAACTTTGATATGGTATGAAAGTCGAAGAAGAATATGCTCGCTCGTTCGCATCGATGATAACTATTTATCCTCAAATTTTGATCAGTTCATTGATCAATTACTATACGATATGATTGCGAAATCATAACCCCACGGCCGCAACTTAACAAAGATATCATGAAGCTATCAAAAGTAGCCGCAGTAGCAGAAACCCAGAATGCTCGCGACGAGAGGGTTGAGCAGTTATGGAGAAAATTAGATACAGATCAGAAAGGGGAGATTAATTTGCAAGAGCTTCAAAAGGGGCTGCGGAAGATTGATCACCCATTGAAGAATGCCGGTGATATGCTAAGAGATGCAGTTAAGGCTATGGATAAAAATGGGGATGAAGTTATTCAATATGATGGTATGGACCATATAGAAAATCTACACCCAATATCACTCCGTCGGCTTGCAGCTTCATATATCCTTACTAATTCTTTAATCCTCCAGAATTTCGAACTTTCGTCGAGAAGACCGAAAAAGAGTTATTCGCCCTCTTCCAAGGCATTGATAGGGATAATGACAATAGATTGGATAAAGATGAATTGCAAGTTGCATTCAAGAAAGCTGGACTTACTATTTCGAAATCTAAATTAGACCTATTTTTCGAAGAGGTTGATATGAATCATGATGTTCGTACCAAAATCACCGTCTTGAATATCTACCATTGACCATTCTCTAATTTTACCTCAAGGGATTTATAACATTCGATGAATGGAGGTTAGTACTATCACTTCTTTTACGTCGAGTGAATGAACCATATCAGATAATGTTGATTTCTTACCAAATTTTCATTCTGTATGGTTGCTATGTAGCCACTAAAAGCCCCGGCGAACCGTTGAAACTACCTAGTGCTGGTAGCCATACTATGAACATATGTTTTCTAAACTTCAAAAATCATTGACTTATCTGAAAGTTAATCTGTCCTAATTAATGTTTTTTTATATAGAAACTTCTTACTATTTTTACCTACTACAGCTTCTACCCAGCCTTTAAAGGCCGTACTGTCATATTATCAGTCTGCAGTAGCTGTGAACGCCGAGGGCGATACTTCAATTCGAGAAGACACACTCGAAGGCTTAGGTACCAAAACAAATTTTCTTAAGCTTCTTTTTGGGGCAGTTATTAGTATCGCAGAATCGCATCGTGGCCGAACTCCTACAATTCAAATTGGAGAAGCATCATCACCCACTTCTTCTCACAACCAAACCGCAAACATGGCCATTACAGATGTACAAGCAATCAGTTCTATTGACTCTGTTGATGATGTATATGACCACATTGTCGACCCACTTCATACACGTACTGAAACTATGGCCAATGTTATGAGGAGGCGTCGGCCAGAGCTAACCCACGAAGTTCCTAAAAAGTTAGAGTCATCAGAGAGATCAAGACTGACGGAGATATTACCTGATCCAGGCTACTTCGCGGCGGGTGCAATCGCCGGAATTTTCTCTCGTACAGCAACAGCTCCCATAGATCGATTGAAAGTTTACCTCATCGCCAATGTCTCTGCAAAAAGTGCACCTCTCGAAGCTGCAAAGCAGGGAAATCCGGCTGCAGCTGTTAAAATGGCTGGACAACCCATAATCCTTGCTATCAAGGAGCTCTGGAAAGTAGGCGGTATGCGTAGCTTATTCGCTGGTAAGTTTTATCCTAGATTCTACTCTTACTACAAACTGACAAATAAACAGGCAATGGCTTGAATGTCATTAAAGTTATGCCTGAAAGTGCTATCAAATTTGGTTCCTTTGAAGCGGCGAAAAAACACCTGGCTCGATTGGAGGGACATGGTAATTCTAAGAAGATTAACCCTTATTCAAAGTTTGTTGCTGGTGGTTTCGCTGGAATAATGTCTCAGTAAGTATCTGTGTTCAAGTCACATGAAATAACTACTAATCCTGGATCGCAGATTGGTTGTCTATCCGATCGATACCTTAAAGTTCCGGTAAGATACCCTTCCAGCCCCTTACAACCTGATTCTTGTACTCATTCGTGTCTAGAATGCAATGTGAAACTGTTGCTGGCGGTCTTCGTGGAAATGCCCTTATTGCCGCTACTGCGAAACAAATGTATAAACAAGGTGGAATTCCATTTGCATACAGAGGTTTGACAATGGGGTTGGTTGGCATGTTCCCCTATTCCGCTATTGATCTTGCTACATTTGAAACCTTGAAGGGGTACGTGGCACGTCGAAATATGAAGAGCTTTGGATATAGTGAAGCAGATGCCATGCCAGGACCATTTGCCACAGGCGCCATTGGCGCATTCTCGGGAGCATTCGGTGCAAGTATTGTCTATCCAATCAATCTCCTCCGTACTCGATTACAAGCTCAAGGCACAGTCCTACACCCTCCAACTTATACTGGCATTATGGATGTTGCACAGAGGACTCTTAAAAATGAAGGGTTTCGTGGTTTGTATAAGGGTCTTGCGCCGAATCTATTCAAGGTCGTACCTGCTGTCAGTATCACATACGTCGTCTACGAACAAGCCAAAAAGACTATGGCCTTAAATTAAAAGCTCTTGACGTACTTGACACACTACTTTGTGTCCGCGTCGCATTCTGAGTTTCATATATTATATCCCGCAGGATTCAGTTGAAGAGGTTCTAGCAAGGAATCGGTTTCACAGTAACGATATCCTGTTATCTAAAAATGACCAAAATTAACAATCGATTATATCAATCAGGCTCAGGTCTATATCAAAATAACAACGAATTAAAATCCGCAAATCGCTTTCATGTTTCGGTTTTTATATCCTACACACCCGTACCCTAACGGCCTTTCCACCTTCCACCATTTGATACCACTGTTGCCGGGCAGCATCTTTAGAGCCCTACCAAATTTTCTTTCCTTTATCAGCGTTAAGAGAACAGATCTGCATAAAACTGGCGTTTACATTTACAATTTTCTCATTTGTCATCCACAACTCGGCGTTTTAGGGAATGGAGATATACCTATGGATGGTAGGGTTTATGATATATTTGCAGGTATACATTGCAAACTAGATGTGGTATACTGATTCTGTACGCGCATGGAAGTGGATGGAGAGAAAGGAGAAAGGGGAATAGTGATTGGTGTCTAGATTTGTGAATATTGAGTTGAGGGGTTGTATCTTGGTGATGATATGCAGTTTGATATGTTACATATGTATGTATGTATGTATGTATGTATGTATGTAATTGTTTTTGGGAAAGTTGAGAATGGAGAATCTTACATACTTATCTATGCATATGCTTTGATATGATATGATGACTTGGATGTGTGAATGTGTAAATGAGGTGAGGTGATGTGTTGTGATAGATGTAATAGTGACCGGTTGGGAATATCACAGGATGTGTGTGATGTTGTTAATAAATGTGATGGGTGTAGGATGGAAGTTAGGTATACTGGGAATTAAGATGAATATATATATGTATGTGTATATGTATGGAATGGGGAAGGGGAAGGGGAGGGGAAAGGGGGTAAGTAAGTGAGTGAGTGAGTGAGTAAGTGAATTTTGGTGAATAAAAAGAGTATGTAATTGTTTATTAGGGAGAGTTATGGTATGATTGACTTAGAAAGAGTTTAGAAGAGATTTAGGAGGTTTAGAGGGGCTGGAGGGTTTGGGGAAGTTTAAAAGAGGTCTAGGGGACGAGAATAGGAAGAAAGTAGGTGGGAGGGAGGAGATGAATGATTGTTAAGAATGTCATGGATGGATGGATGGATGGGTTGGAGATGGATAATGGGAAATGGATTATGGATTTTGGGAGGGTAAGTGGTAGAAAAGGAGGGTTTATTTTTATATAATGGTTTAAAGAATTCGAGTATTTATAGTGGTGTTAGTATTGGTGTTAGGTTTCGGGTCAATTTTTGAGTTGGTTCTAGTGTTGATATTGGGGTTGGATTTGTATTGGGTTTGAACTTGGTTATAGTGCTGGTTTTGGCATGATTGGTTCTGAATCATTGGAATTGGTTTGGGATTATGGGATTGGAGGAGGGTAGGAGTATTAGATTGGGAGAAGCATAGGAGAGTATTAGTATTGGAATTATTAGGATGGGGAAGAGTAGATAAAGAAGTGAATAGAGGAGAAATAATAGAGGAGGAGTGGATGAGAGAAGTTGGATGAGAAGGAATGAAGGAGAAGTAGATGATTGATGTAAATGGAAAAATAAATGATTAAGTGTATAGAGGAAAGTATATAGATTAAATAGGTAGAAAAAAGTGAATAGAAGAGGAGCATATGGAGAAGGGTAAATAGGATTAGGCTGAGGGAGGTAAATAAAAGAAGATAAATAAAGGAGAGTAAATAGAAGAAATAAATAAAAGAGAAATAAATAAAAAAATAAGTAAATAGAAAAGTAGATATAGAATTAAATTGAAGAGTAAACGAAAAATTAAATGTAGAATTAAATATAGACTTAATATAGAATTAGAAAATAGAATTAGAAAATAGAATTAGAAAATAGAATTAGATATAGAATTAGATATAAAATCAAACATAGACTTAAAATACAATAAGAAAATAGAAGTATATATAAAATCAAATATAAACTTAACATAGAAATAACATAGAACAAAAATTTAGATCAAATTTAAGATTCGAATAAATTAGATTCGCATTAAATCAAAGATAATACTATAACGTAACTTGACTAGAAGTGGGTCATATCATGATATGGGTCACAAAAATCATATTTTCCTATTTGATCTTGTCCTATATGCTATAGGGTGATCTACAACTATTATTGATTTAATT